GATCACCGGTAAACTGAAGCGCTCTTTTAACTTAACCAAACGCATTCTATACGAGATAAATCAGATATACTTCAAATAAACACAATAATAAAACATACAATTGCACAAAAGGCTGCAAACGAACAGCGCGCATCTGAAGTGTCTCTGAAGGAAATAATGCATTATTTATCGGCTTTAAGATATCGCAACATTTTCTTATCGGGCCGATACCGATAACAGAAAAAACTGAACATTTATCGGCCGATACCGATATGGTGGCCGATATATCGTGCATCCCTAAAGAAAAGGAAATAGAAATGAAAGTATTTTAATTTTTAAGTCGAGCATAAACTACATAATGAAGATAATATTGAACTGCAACTGCAAGATAAACAGTAGGTTTCCATTGTGACAACTTACCCCCTTTATGTGACAACATGCCCCCCCCTCCAGTATAGCTAATTTCTATGGTATATGTACCCTATATGCAGTACCTTAATTGTTCAATTTATAATAATAGTAACTAAATATTCAGTATAGGCATGATAAATGAACTATTATATATTCACTGGGGCAAAACGTGTAACAATCGCCTCCCCGTTCTGATTCGTACAGTATTAGAGATTGTAGTATGAATCTGGATGTCTCTCTCGGGACATTATTTGTATCGAGGCCACTTTTAGAGACTTAATTAACAATGTATGGTTACTTAAATGTGGTTAATCAAACACCTTAATTTTAAAGCTTCCCCTGTGGATGCAGCACATCAAGGAGAAGCCGAGTTGGATTCTAATGTTCAGATCTTTTATATTATTATGTTTATTTCCAATGCTCTGCGACACTTTAGACATCAGTTTGCTCGTTCTCTTTATAGGGCGTTTGTTTAGCGTTAGACGTGGGATTGGGAATCCGCAGCGCAGTGTTTTAAAGCCTCCTCGTTCCACAATCAGTGTTTTCCTAATTGAGGCGTTGTGTGGTTCCAGCTGCCCGTTCCTGGTGGAGCACCTCACCAGCTGCATCCCGGCCATCGGAGGGGTCCTGTTTGTGTTTGTGATCATCTCTCTCCTCCAGACCAGCTTCACGGATCCGGGGATTCTGCCCCGGGCCACACCAGAGGAGGCCGCAGACATCGAGAAGCAGATCGGTGAGCGAGCACACATCTCCTCTGGATTACTAGTGCACTCTGTATACTGCATACTGTTATCATCCACAGAAATACATTGGATTGCTTTGCGTTTTTAATCTAGGTTTGGCTAAATGTCTTTTGGCAGTTGATTATATGATGAGCTAAGAATGAGATGTCTGATGTTGCTTCTGCTTCATTCGTCACTCTGGATGTGTAAGGTCAAGTCTAGGGCATTGCATTATGGGATAGAGGGCTCAGTGCAGTGTGCTCTGTTGCTGCTATGTATTAGGTCCTCCATATTCATGCATACAGATATAGGAAGAGAATCATGTTATTCCAAATGTTCAACTTGTTTTGCATTCCACTGCGCCTTTCTGTTGTTTTTCTTTGTAAACATGCACTAGATGGACGTCTTCGACTGTTGACTTTGTGTCGTTTGTAGCATATATCGCATAAGAATAATATTATTATTCCTTATAAAAATGTGCCGTTCATGCTAACAAAACGTTCAACATTTAAAAAAAAACACATCTGTAGATATGGAGCTTATAATATGACAAAACTATTTGAATTTGAATTGTGTAAATTTGTGTTATTGCCAAGTGTCATTTAACAAAACTGAATTTTGATGATCTCCGAAAAGTCGAACGAAGCATTTACGCTGACCGGAGCGGACATGTTCGGTTCACTTAGGCTAGTTTTGTATGGCCACAACTAGGGCTGTGCAATATATCGAAATGATCGAAATATCGCAAATGTACGTATCGCAATATGCATATCTCTACAGCTTGCAATATTTGGGGCCATGAACAAAAGACAAAGAGAAAATCACTCACTGCTCTTACCTAAATAACATTTGTAGCTTAAATAAGAATCAGTGCATATTGAATTCAAAGAGTAAATACTACGCAGTGTTTTATTTTTCCTTTTTATTATTCCGTTCCTAAACTCCGGTTAAAATGATTACACTAATGTTAAAATGACATTTTTATGTAATGCTCGCGTAAAACACTAACGTTCACTTTCAGAAGTTGTTGTGGGGGTGCTTTCTTATAGAATCAGCTTTATTCACCGCTTAAGTGTGCGCAAACAGGAGCTCTTGATACATACATACAAATAACCATATATACTGTATATGACACAAGATAGTTATAGAAGTTCACAGAACTGACTCAGTTTCATCTGAGCATGTGGCACTTTAAGCATTATCGTATCGCATATCGCATTTTTCTTCAATATCGCACAGCCCTATCCACAACATATTAACTCATGGAAACGAGATAATTGTATGGAGATGATGGCATCCAGGAATCACCGCGTGGCTGCCGCTTTCTCTCGTAGTGGAAGTGTTTCGTGTGGTCTCGGGGCAGACATGGCCATAGTTAAAGATCGATAGATGACCTCTGACCTACTTTCGTACGAACTGAATTTCTGCGTATTGAATTTTGAATATTGAATTTGATGTTCTGAATTTCCTCTTCATCTTGAAAACTTGAAGCTGTATTTTTAAAAAACTGGATATCTCCAGTCTAACAACTCAGAACAAAAAATCGGCTGTTTGAAAATACATGTCTACTAAAAAAAACTGCCATAAATGCAATTGTTAAATTTCAAATGTTAAATAAAAAGTGAAAAAAAAAATCTAATTCAGAACTATGTTAAATGCCACATAAAATTCAGTTTTGTTAAATGATACTTGTTTCATGCATTACGGCACTAATATTAATGGAAAAATGGACCTTCTTTGTTTGTAAAATTGTGCAAAATATTTGCTAATGTGACCATGATTTGGAAAGCAGATCTATAATAATCTAACATTGGTAAACCTGGCATTGTGTGCTATGGATATTGTTGGCCCTTTTCCTCTGTTGTAAGTCCCTTTGGATAAAAGTGTCTGCTAAATGCATAAATATAAATAATAACCATGTTTGAGAGATGTCCCTGAGTCGATCTGATTTGGGATTTGATTTGATTTTTTAAATTTTGGCATCTAACAGATGCCAAGGCCCTGAATAAGCCTTTGAACTGCTCTGGACGTGCCGCCATCTCTTCTTCTCCATGACAAATAAGAGGACATTCTGTCCTAATTACAGAGGACGGCCCTGACAGGATGATTGTCATGAACACACACTCCCCCAGGACTCAAAATGAGATCTTCACCTGCTCAATACTAGCACATTCACGTCTGGTTGTTGCAGTGAGAGGTTTGTTTCTCTCTGAACAAGGTCACATGATTGCGGTGCAGACTCCATTATTTTAGATGTCCTCCGAACAGGAACATAATCTGCCAGTCAGAGAGCTGAAGCGGTCTGCAGTTATTAGTTTTAATAATAATAAAAATGATCATCATAATAAAATGTCTGCTCTGCTCAAGTGGTTCAGCTAAAGTACTGACATGTTTGTGAGGAACTGGGAAATGGAGAAGTGCGTGATGTACCTTTTTTCTGTGACAGCGTTTTAATATTCTTTTTTTCTGTTTCAAGACGAATTTATAGCCGTCTGGCTTGCTTTCACCCCTCTGACCTTCACTGCAGGCTGCTTCTGGAATAAGGGCTTAGTTTGTGTGTAGTTGTCATGTTTTATATCTGTGATGCATGGTAATTCTGATCTGCAAATTTGCCATTTGCAGTATATCTGTTGCGCTGAACTTAAGTCGAAATTTCAAATCAGAATTGATATCCAAGTGGCAGATATTAAGTCGAGTTTGTTTTTGAGAGCATTTGATATGGTGGCCCATTAGAACACAACGCAATTAAAAAAGCAAACATAAGCTCACAACGAAATGAAGCCACAACACAACGGAAATGCTCCCAACCACTAGGGGGCAGTTGATCTGTAGAAACGGGCAATTGTGTGCATGTCACGAGTATTCGCGGGCTTAACGCTTTTAACGCTGCTTGCTCCCTGACGTTGTTTCAGTTCGTTATTATGTGGGGATACGCTTGAAAGCTGCCCAGAGCTAAACTGTCCAAATCCAAAATAATATTGATTTATTTTCTGCCCGATTCATGAATCGATACATGAAGATTACCAGGATATCAAAACATTCGGTAAAAACACGTTCATTTAAAAATCGATTACACATATTAAGATCAATCACTTACATTGAGAGTTTCTTGTGGCGTCTCAAGGATGTATCGGTGTTTCTCTGCTAACACTGCTCCCTAGTGGTCAGGAGCATATAGGGCTGATAATGTTTTCATATCGATAATTATCACGATAAATGCCAAATTTGTATTTCTTTCAAGTTTGAAGGCAGATTTTTGCTCCAATGTGAAAGTTGTAGAAACCAGACCATTAAACTACTCTTTACGGTCAGAACACGACGACACGCTTCACGGTTTTCAATTCTTTACACTTTTCCAGTCTTTTTTCCTTAAGAAAATAAATATCTTATTAGAAAAAAATTATTTATTAGTTTCTGCACGTTCTAATGAGTAATATTGTTTCAAATCAAGAAACCGGTTTGTGTTGCCTGATAATATTAATAATAATATAACATTTTTTTTTGTCTCTTAGAAATACACATTTAATAGTAGCTTAAGTTAGTTTTTTTTTTTGTTCATTATCAAAATCCGTAATATCTGTAAGTATTGTAGCAACCTCATTTTTATATGGTGCAATGTAATTATTCTGACTGTTTGAGTTTTTTTTAATAATTTTTTTTCCATAAAAAAGTAGCCATAGTAGCTTCCATAGTAGCATACATTTTAGATCATGATAATCACAGTTAAAACCATAAATATAGCACCTCAATACCATGGTAAAAATGTAATATGGCTTTTAGGTATTTGTATGAAAAACAGTAGCTAGTCTAAATAAATTTAGTATAAATGCATAAACGCTATAGCTTAATCACACAAAAAAAATACTGTAATTATATTCCATTACTCCTCCTTCAATACATTTAAAACATGTCTACATTAATAATACAAATTCGACATTTCTGACACAATACTATGGTGCAGTTAGTGCTGCTACAGTAAATCTTTGGTAAATGATGGCAATTTTGATTAAAAAGTCTTCTAACTGTATCATTGCGCACAGTGTTTCTCCTGTTTGTCAGTGCAGTTTCATCTGGCTGTAAACTGAGTTATTTGTGTTCTTTGCTGAATGCAAGCGAACTTTGATCCGAGTGGATAAACGGTCCGAGTGACGCGCTTCAAATGACTTGTGCTCTTTCGTTCCGCCTTCGCCTCATAAACATTATATCGAACGTTTTTGATATCGTTTATCGAGGAAATTTATATCGTGCGATAATTATCGTGATCGATTTATCGCCCAGCCCTAGTTGTAGCTTAATTGCGTTGTGAGCTTATGTTTGCTTTTTTTAATTTCGTTGTGTTGTGCACTACTGGGCCACCTTAATTTGAGGATCGATCACTGCGTACATCAGCTGATGTGTTTGACTGGATTGGAATAAAGCATGTAAAGAAAACACACAAACAAAAAAAGTCAAATTCTAGTGCACAGACAGAAAATCACAGATTAGAGGCTGTTCACACATAACGTGTTTTTGCATTCCATTGCACTTCTTTTCTTTTGCGTAAACATGCGCTAGATGGATGTCTTTGACTGTTGCCCTTGTGTTTTTTGCAGCGTCTCGCATGACAAGACCTTCTAAAAACATGCAGTCAAATAAGTTCAGCTTTTTAGGAACGCATCTCTAGATCTTGCTTTTTACCTCTCTAGACTCTCATGGTTTTCCCTGAGACGGTTTTTTTGCTTGCCGCCTTAATGTTTTTTATGTAGCATATTGTTAATGTATCTTTTTTGATGTGAAGTGGTGAAAGCAGCTCCTTTAAATAACGCATTGCTCTAATGATTACACCAAATGGATTTTTTTTCAAGCAGTTCTCCCTTGCGCCAGTGGTTTTCTAGTGCGAGTGTTCAACTAATTTCAGCAAACTCTAAAGAGCCTTTAAACATCAGAATGAGAGTTTAGTTGTTTTCTTTAATGTTAGTTATTGAAATTCCTTCCTGACATCTCATCCTCTGCTGGAAATGTGTTTTTCTCTCTGGCAGACAACCCGACGGGCTCGTCCTCATCCTACCGCCCCCCGCCGCGCACGAAGGAGGTCGTCATCAATCAGCAGGTGGTTAAACTCAAGTATTGCTTCACCTGCAAGATCTTCCGGCCGCCGCGCACCTCCCACTGCAGCCTGTGTGACAACTGTGTGGGTGAGATGAGCTTCCAGAAGTGCGCTCGCATGCAGCAAATCTGAGGCTGCTTTTAATGATAATCATTAGTGGCGATTGCTAATGCAAGTGTCATTATCACTATTGCTCATACTAAAGGTTACAAGTTAACATTTAAATTCATGCATCTGGCAGATGCTTTTATCTAAAGCTGCTTACAGTGCACTCCAGGTATGCATTATCAATTCATATCAGATCATCGGTCTAAGTGCATTAACGTTGTTTGATGTGCAGGAGCACCGCTCGGATATAACCGGAGCAACATAGGGCTGCACTATTAATTGAAATAAAAAATGCGATTTGGCTTAGTGGGATAATCAAACTGCAAAGGCTGTAGTTGAATTCAATATATGTGCTGCGTGTTTCCGAGGGAAGAGCAGAACTGTGTTTAGTTACTCGTGAGCAGCTCATTCTCAGTGTTTTCAGCGTCTCGCAGTAAATGCTGCTCCGCATGAACACTCAGCTCTGCGTCTGCTCGGGAGTTTGAGTCTCTGTAATGCGCATTTGTGAACGCAACATGTGCCCATCGTCTAGAAGAGCTTCTCAACAAGAGGAGTTTTCTAATCTAAAGCGTTACCAAAACCACATACTTTGAGTGTCTGAAAATGAAACCGAGGTTCAAAACCGTGTGGTTTTATGGCTTTAATGAGGAAAAGAAATACAGTCCCGATGAAGCATTGCAAATGACACAATCAAATTTAAATCGGTTGGTTTCAACAAATGCATATGCCATTGATTAACAACACTGTAGCTCACAGTAGCTCTGTAATTAAGTGCTTGTAATTTTATTAAAAATCAATTCCTCTATAAAGAAGATTAATCATTTTTTACTTGAGTTTGTACTGTACAGGCAAACACTGCTATGTAATGTGGTTACTCCTAACATTCAATATTAATTGCCAGTGTGTTTATTGTGTGCAGTTTTCACACTCCTCTGCTTGTGCATCCATGTAGGATGTTATCTTTCTCAGATTTAGCGGTGTTATTTATAGCGTTAGGTTTATGAAGCCGGTTTGAAGCGGTGTGCGTTTTTGGTTTGATCTCTGAAGTTCTCACTTGTTCTTAAGCCAGCAGCCTTTTTAATTCCTGCTGTAATAAATCACGAGCCGTGTGACGGCCCGCTGTCATGTGTGTTTGACAGAGCGCTTCGATCATCACTGCCCCTGGGTCGGCAACTGTGTGGGAAAACGAAACTATCGCTTCTTCTACACCTTCATCGTCTCGCTGTCTTTCCTCACGGCCTTCATCTTCGGCTGTGTAACCACACACCTGGCTCTGAGTACGTGTCATTTCATTTTCCTTGACAACTCTTTGTGTATCTGTGAGCTCAAACAAATATATACGTCGTTGAGTGGTGTGTGAATTTAACATGGGTCCAGTGAGGTCATGTCACTTTCCAGTTAAGAGATTTGTAACCAGAGTAGTTCTAAAAAGTGACGTTAGAGACATTTACAATGTTACAAAAGATTTCGATTTCAAATAAATGCTGTAGTATCCTAAAAAAAAAATCCTAGTTGCTCACGCTTTTCCTAAAAATGCTAATAATAAAAGATAATAATCAAATGTATTTCTTGAGCAGTAAATCAGAATATTAGAATGATTTCTGAAGGATCATGTGACACTGAAGACTGGAGTCATGATGCTGAAAATCTAGCTTTGATCACAGGAATAAATTACATTTTACAATATATTGTAATAGAAAACAGTTATTTTAGTTATTTCACAATATTACTGTTTTTACTGTAAAAATTATACCAACCAAAATCTTTTGTATAATAGTGGAACTTACTTCACGAGGTGCATCATGGGATGTGTTTGAACAGCACTGAAGGAGTTGTTGGTTTTTAAAAAAGAAAATGCAATATAACATTGTTCCAAATTGGAACAGTTTAGACAAAACTAATTTCCAGTTTTGAAGCATAAACCATTTAATTGAGTTAGATGTGTCCAGATAACAGACTGGTAGTGTTTACATCAGCTCTTTTTAATCGAAGAGTTGGTCTGTTTGCACTCTGCTGTATTTCTAAAGGCAAGCACAGATGCCAAATGAGATGATGAGAGGCCATGTGAATCTCTTATTGGACCTAAATGGCTTAAGATCTGATAAAAGCTTTTAGTGACTAATGCTCTCTTTTATAGGGTCACAAGGAGGAAATGGGTTGGTTTTCGCTCTCCAAGCGAGTCCTGCCAGATATCCTTTCATTTGTTGTTTGAGTTCAGATGTTTAACTTGCAAAAAGTCTGTTATTGCCGTAAAGGAATGTGCTGGGTTAAATACAAGTGAAGTTCAATGAACAAGAATTGACACCGAAAATGTCAACTTGTGCCTCAGTTTATAAAAACAAATGAAAATTGGGTTTGTAGTAACGTGCTTACAATGTGAATCTATGGGGCAAGTCATACTGGGGAAAAAAAACAATGTAAAATACAGTATTTGTGATAGTATTATGTAGCTAGTATAGTCATAGCGGTTTTTACAATGCACATTTGAGTGCCTCTGAATGCAATTGTTCCAGCCGCCCAAATGTCACATTTCTGCTTTAAACACTTCTGTATGGAGTACCGCACATGACATGTGGGTGGGGTAGATATTATGGCGTTATTTCCTTCATTTTAGTTAAATCATGGCCATATTGTACTGATTCATTCCCTTTAGTTTAGTTCAACTGTGGCAGTGATTTAACTAAAACAAGGGAATGAATTCCTAATCCATGGCCATAATATATGTTTTTCCCTCTGCGTGTCATATGCAGGGCTCAACACTTTGGTGCACTTTCATTATAAGTGCAATGTTTGTACAAACCAAGGGACTAATCAACTCAAAATGATGCTGTTGATCAAGTTATATTTAGCCCAGCATATTCCTGTACTGTGTGCTGTTAATATTCATTATTGGTGCAAACTCTGAAGTTTTCCTTTACTTTCTCCACTGCTCTTGAGTTAGTGGTTTGCTTCTTTTCAGTTTGGTCCATTTTGGGCCTCTCAGGCTTCCATACATACCTGGTAGCTGCAAATCTTACTACCAATGAGGATGTAAGTGTTTTCCTTTCATAACTTAAGAGGTGTAAAAGTGTTTTTTACCTCATACACTCAAATATTTAGGCCTTAATTTAAAATAATTTATATGTAATTCAAATACATATATCTACCATTTGAATTGCACTGCTTTGTCATAAATTAATACACTTTGTGATGCTTATATTTGTTAGTCATACATAAAAAAAACATCATGGCACAAGTGTTACATTCATAAATAATTGTTTTCAAAATTCTTGATTCAAAATAATTATTTAAATTGCTTAGAATCAGCATAAATCTGTTAATTGTTAAAAACAATTAATTCAGTAAAAATTGATTTGTTTTGATGACGTTTAAAATGAGTAATGATTAGTTGTGAAACAAGCAATATTCGGTTAGATAAATTTATGAGATTGACACAAACTAGATTTATTGAGCTGCATTAAATATATAAATCTGGTTAGTTTGTATTTAAAACGCATTCAGTTTTACTAGTACTATTATATAGTACTATTATATAAGTCTTACAGTTTGATTTATGTATGACTGAATTAGGTTTATTAGATAAAACTGCATAATCCAAATGAGATGGATGACAATACAACCAATTACGGAAACACGCTGCAAATACTGACAATACATCAAATTACAGAACCATGCTGCAAATACTGACCAAATACTGACAATACATCAAATTACGGAAACACGCTGCAGATACTGACAATACATCAAATTACGGAAACGCGCTGCAGATACTGACAATACATCAAATTACGGAAACACGCTGCAAATACTGACCAAATACTGACACTACATCCAATTACGGAAACACGCTGTGAATACGGACAATACAACCAATTACGGAAACACGCTGCAAATACTGACAATACATCAAATTACGGAAACATGCTGCAAATACTGACAATACATCAAATTACGGAAACACGCTGCAAATACTGACAATACAACCAATTACGGAAACACGCTGCAAATACTGACAATACATCAAATTACGGAAACATGCTGCAAATACTGACAATACATCAAATTACGGAAACACGCTGCGAATACTGACAATACAACCAATTACGGAAACGCGCTGCGAATACTGACAATACATCAAATTACAGAAACACGCTGCGAATACTCACAATACAACCAAATACAGAAACACAATGCAAATACTCACAATACAACCAAATACAGAAACACACTGCAAATACTCACAATACAACCAAATACAGAAACACTGCAAATACTCACAACACAACCAAATACAGAAAAGCTCTGCAAATACAACACAACCAATTACAGAAACACGCTGCAAAAACTCACAATGCAACCTAATACAGAAACACTGAAAATACTTGCATAACCAAATACAGAAATGCTCTGCAAACACTCACAACACAAACAAATACAAAGTATTTGGTCACGTTGTGCGTAATTGCAGAGCATTTCTGTATTTGGTTGTGCTGTGAGTATTTGCAGCACGTGTTGTCAAACTGATGAAGATGTTTTCTTAATTTGCTTGTGTAAAGTTGCAACAGATTGAGCTCTCTCGGCCACCATAGAAAATACATACAAATACATTATTTTTGTTATTTTTATTATTATGATGTAGGCCTAAATATTTCATGGATTGTATGTGTATTTTTGTGTCCATATTACAGATTAAAGGCTCCTGGTCAGGGAAAAGTGGAAATGAGGACGTTGGAAATCCTTACAGTTACAACAGCATTGTCAAAAACTGCTGTTCTGTGCTCTGTGGACCCATGCCACCCAGGTGAGACGTGTATATGGTCTCCAGTGTACCAGTAAAAACTATATCCACAATATGAAGCCTCTGTTTATCACTGTGGCTTTGTTGTAATTCCTTTGCCCCCTCTCTTGTCTTGTCAGTTTGATTGACAGGCGAGGCTTTGTGCCCTCTGATGACTCCGTCCAGACCAGTCCTGTGGAAATCGAACTCCCGGCTGCTAAAAACAACAGAAACATGGTAGGAAGGGCAGTCACCTCAGGCCGACCTCCTCCTCCTCCTCCACCCCCGGTCGTAACCCTACAGCAACCTGACATCTCCATTCAGAGCCACTCGACAGCCTGACTTCCTGTGTCTGATCCAAAGCCAGCATTTTCTCCTCTTGCTGCATTGTTTGATGCGTTTTGGCATGGGTCGCACCCTTCATTTAGATGTCAGACAGCGTTCGGCTCCCTGGGCTGCAGCCAAGTGCGGCTGTCTCAGATTTGTTTGGTGTTGAGGAGAGCCGTTACGGCTGTGGTCAAAGTCACATATATAGATGAGATTTGTGTTGTTTACTTTGAGTTTGAATGGGAAATAAATGTTTATGTGCTCATTCTCTATGGTTTGGCTCCCTCATAGATCAGTGGGTTGGAGTGTTTACAGAGCAATGGGTGTAGCCGTTGTGTTATTTTGCACAACTGTGCATCTTATTACAAAAAAAGGAAATGAAACTTTTGACTTCCTGTGACACTAGGTAGAATTCACAGTTTGTGAGCAGGAAAGACGCTGTAGTTTCAGGTGATGGTGTTTATTTTTGAAGCTCTTCGATGGTTGAAAGACTTGTGCGATTATGACGCACAATGGTGCTCTTGAAAAACATCAGAGTATAAGCAAACACCTCTCACAAATGTTGTTTATTTTTCATCAATTTATTAAAGTTGTTTGTTTTTAGTATAATCTGAGCATGTAAAAAGCTGTTGTTTGTTTGTATAATTCAGGTTGTTTGGTTCAAACAAACAAGCAACTTGTTTGTTTTTAGTTTTTGTGTTTTCTTGTGGCTGTTTATCAACTTACATGTGCCTTGAAGTTTTTTCAGATCTTTTTTGGTTTATACTCCGATGTTGAACTTGTCACCAAAACAAAAGTGCCTCTCATCAGTGAACAAACAAACAAACCAACAGCTAACAGCTCTAGTGTTTATGTACATTTCTTTGGTTGTAACGTGGCGGAAAAGTCCATGCCATCCTGTTTTGTGAAGTCCAAAATAAATAGCTATGGTGAATATGACTTCTATTAAACTATGGAAAAATATCAGTTTGATTTACGGGAAAAAATGCAGGTAAAGTTAATAAGGTGCTAATGCATCTCTGCACAGTAACCAAAGTACACTCACTTGATGTGTGGTTGTGTCTGTGTGCATGTGCATATATTGTGAAATAGTTTGCATGTGATATGAAAATTTCCCTATGGGATTTTACTTATTATGAATGCATATTTTTTTAAATGAAGAACATTGCTGACATTTTGTACTTTTGAACATATCTGTGCTTGTATATATTGAAAATGCATTTTAATGTTAAATAAATATTTTTCAAACTAAACCACAGAATTCTTGTCCTGCATGCATATTTGTTGTTTTGAGTATGTAGGTATCGAGTTGTTTGTTTACTCACAGTTGTGTATGTTTTCCTGGCATGTTCTGATGCGTTAGTGCACATTAGTGCTGTTACACTTATCGGTCTTCGCACATTAACCCTTGTCCTCTGTATGTGTGTGTGCATGCAAACGTCAGACGTGGTGCGCATACATTTTCTAGTGTGCTTCTGAATGCCAGAGTAAGTGTGAGGAAATATGTGTTATTACCATGTGAGAGGAAATATCACTCGGCAATTCTGATATTCAGGATTTATGGATTTAAAAGTGTACTAGAGCTATGATCAGAACAGAATGTTAGCCTGCTGCATACTAATCCATTTTGGCATACTTTTAAAAAGAAATACTCCACACTAAATACAGACCAAATGTTATGTCTTGAGACAATTATAGGCTGCATTTAAAAATGTATTATAGTTTACATTTATGTTAACCCTCTGGTGCTCCTTATTTGGGAGTCACACTTGTGGTCTTCCCGGTCAAAAGTGACCGGAAACCCCAGTAAAATCAATGTAACATATTTGTTAAATAATATTTTGTATTTTGTAATAATTTCATGGTACTAATTAATATTTATGCAACAATTATGATCAATTTCGTCCCTTTTTTTTTTTTACAAAATATTTTTTATATTACTTTTCAATGAATGCAGTATTTCATGTTAAAATAGAGTCAATGCCTTTAAAATCCAATTTTTTGAAGCCAAATTAGTGCCATCTGGTGGGAGTAAAAAAAGAAAAACATCTGCAATTCTATGGTTTAGCCACTAGATTCCTATATAGCTCTGTATAAAAGGCCTATAAAAAAAGACATAAATACGTATTTTTATTCATTTGTGGGTTTGGATATATGTTTAGACATTCTCAAAAACAACGTTTTGTAAAGGTTTAGATTATTATTATTTTATTTTTTTTGTAATGTTGATTTGAAGCATCAGTTATTGAATTATTATTACTACAGTCAAACCTGAACACAGAGAAAACATTTTGTTACACAACACATTAAAATTCTATAAAAATGTAACAAAAATGAACAAATATTTCATTGGAGCTTAATCCTTCTGGGTTTGATCTGATTTCAACCTCTTATTTCAGTTTTCTGACTCGTTTTGGCTATATGTTAATAGCTATACCAATTCATTTGAGTGTGTATAATTGTGTATGTGTGTGAGTGGATGTGTCTGTTTTGCACTCTTGATGTTTTAAAGTGTAACCCCTTCCTTGCTGTCAACTTTTTTACTGCATTGTAGTTGAATTATTTCTTTTATTTGACATATTTGCTGTGTTACATTCACACCAGTTCATAGGTGTGTGTGTGTACGTGTGTGTGTGAGTGGGTGTGTTGCTGTCTTGATGTTTTAAACTTTCACCCCGTCATTGCTGTGTACTTTTTTCTGCATTGTGGCAGATTTGTAGATTGTTTTTGTCAATGTTCCATTCATTTCCTATGGTCGAAGACCACAAGTGTGACTATTTTTATTTTTTTTTACGACCACTTAGCCTGCTCGAATTATGCCCTCAATTTTTTGTGCGTGTTCACCAAATGCCATAAAAGTCACCAGGTTTTGTACCATTCCGATGAAGCTGTGATTTAAAAAAATTTCGGTCAAAAGTGACCGAAGCGCACCAGAGGTTTAAATGCGATTAGCTGAACTTTAGAAGTTTTTTGACACACATATAGGACTTTAGTACATCATGTCATTTCATAATTCTGTTGTCTTTGATATATTGTGTATTGCAGAATGTATTGGCAAGCATATAAAACTCAACTAAACTAAAACATACTTTAATGTCTATGTCATCATGAATTTAAATATATTTGTAATTACACACTTGTAATGATGAATTTGCAATATAGGACATTTAAAAGTCATTGACATTAATATTAACAATACATGTAATATTAAATAACTACAGTTCAAATTATAATCAAGTACTTTGCATGTGCTTTAGTATGTTAGTCAACACATCAAAGCAAGTGCACTTATTGAACACTTAACAAAAGATTATTGAAATGTGATATAAAATAAAACATAAAAATTTGAATTTGAATAACTTCTAGTTAAAAAGTGTCAAGAAAGGGACTGTAAACTCACTGTGTGAGTCTCTGGTGTAGCGGAACTGCACCACCTGGCGTCCATTAACAACCCTTCTGAATAAATAAATAAATACAAGCAACATTTCTCTAATATTTGCCAGTGACAGATCCTTTTTAGGAGCCGTCTGGGATCTTGTTCGCCACTAGATAGCGCTAGTATCTCCCAGATCCAGCTGGAACATTTGTTTTTGGTTCATGACGCTTGAGTGCCAAGAAAACAGTTTGATCCATGCAAGTTCCCTGGAGACTGTTCTGTTGGAATGCATACTGAAATGTTTATTTATAGTTGCTCTGTTTGCTCATCTCAGTGAGGACATATTGTATCATTAAATCACTGCATATAATGAAAAAATCAAAAATAAACTCCCTGCTAATAGTTCCTAAAATCATTCAAATGTTTTATTAGCTGCTTCTGGAACCAATCGGAGACATTTTCATGTTTTTCCAGTGTACCCACAGATCTGATATACTGCGTTTGGAAAAGTGGTTTTACGTAGGCTATTACTCACACGACAGCATGCTGATATGCTTCTCCAGAATTGATTCTGTCTACAGTTTGCAGATTTTCTGGATAGAACACACGAAAGACCTTCTACATCTAACGGAATAATGAATGCAGTGCAATGAATGTTCCAGTGGGATACATAAACTAGGAGCTATTACGTCTGTGATTTTAACTCCTCTGACTCATTATTTGATCTTACCGCCTGACGTTAAGATAATTCTACACAAGATTGGATTAATAGCTGTTTTCATTCCTTCCTCTTTGAATTAAGCATGTAATTAGGCCATGTGATGATGTAACAGTGTCATTTCAATCAATGTTGCATTCAGTTTGAAATAAGCAGCATTTATAAGCCTGTACATTCTGAACACAGCCATGATAATCACACAGAGAGCGATGCAACACTGTAAACACATTTTTTCAATTATATCATCTGTGACATGAAACCAGAAATCAATACCCACTGGAAAGCAGCAATAGCCGTCAAGATAACAAGTCCTTATTCTTTGCTTCGGACAGTGGTTTTGAAACAATTTGAACAGTAAAAAAAATTGTGTTTTGTGCTATTTCAACTAGTTTTAATTAATAAGCCTACTGTTCGCTAGCTACATTTGATTAAAACCTTGTGCACCCTGTCAGTTATATTATTAACATTAGTTATTTTTTGCAGATAAGTATTATTATTTTGTTCATTTTGTTTAAATCGACCGATCAATTTACAAATCATTTGGAAATATTTTTTGGAGCACAGTTGGACTGACTTAGACTGAATTATTTAATAAGAGAGTTTATGGACATAAGATGCCTAGTATTACTTAAATTGTGCAATTTGGCTTAATTTACACGCTCTCAGACTTCTAACTCTTACCCACTAAGGAGAAGACTCTCGGAGACAATTTTGTGCCATTACAGATGACATTTCCAATTATTGCTAAACTTGCAAGAGATGCAGATAAATTATGTAATTATTTTGTTTTCTTTGTAGAAACTGTCTGCAATGAAAAAATGGAGTGACTATGAAACTAACCTGTGTGCCTTTTAATAAAATGAAGAAAGATGTTGAGCGATTTGAAGGTAAAGGAAGTTCACACACCGAGGAAGAGGCCTCTGACTCCACACAATAAATTTAACGGCACATTCCTGTGTAGGTGGTCATGACCTCATTTAAAGGGGTCATATGATGTTGCTAAAAAAAACATTATGTTGTGTATTTGGTGTAATTAAATGTGTTTATGCGGTTTAAGGTTAAAAAAATACATTATTACATTATTGTTTCTCCTCTATGCCCCGCCTTTCTGAAACACGTCGATTTTTACAAAGCTCATCGTTCTGAGTGTGCTGTG